GCCAGCGCTATCCGAAGACGTCTCCATGGTCATGTGACTGGCATGACTAAATGCCAAAGGCGCATGGAATGCTGTTACCTTCCCATCAAAGGTGGTCCCTATTTTTCTACTTGCATTTTTTATGTGCTTTCAAACTGCTAGGTTGGCAGAAGCTAGGACAAGTAATGGGAGTTCACCCCGTTATGCAGCACTAGAGATTCAAACTGCTGAACTGGCTACCTTTTGATTGACAAGCTCAGTGTCTTAGCCACTGAGCCACCACGTCCCCTTTTGTGGATTATACACTCATTCAAAAGGGATAGGATTTGGATCACATTTTTCAAATTTTGATTTCCTCCCGCACTCTCCCATGCTGTTTAATTCTTTTGCAAATGTATAGATTGCTTTCATATTTTTGTCACTGAATAGTTTCCTGTAGGTCTTAGTAATACGTTAAAGGATCCAGAACGGTCATAGTAACATTTGGAGTTTGATTTATTTCTTAAATAAAAGTCACCCAACATGGGATATGCATAAGAGAAACACAGTAGTAATATTTTGTTGCATTATATATCTGTACTACCTTAAACTGCACCAAATGCCTGTACCTACGCCTGATTGGTGTCTTGCAGGATTATGTAGAAAGAGTGGCCCATTATTTCATCATGCCAAATTTTCAGTTGAATTGGCCAGGGTTGTGATGTTTCATTACAATGGAATGTTTGTTTTCTTCCCGTCAATCTGGGAAGCAACAGAATATTGTAGCTACAACCCAGAAAGTTCCTCCTACTCTACTGTTCCCATATGGCACCACTAACTACAAATTACTAAAGGATAATTTGCTTACAAATTACCACAGGACAGGTGTGAATACTTAAAAGTTCCCAAACTGGGGGGCACAAAATGTGAAGGGAAAATAGCTTCACTTGTTTAAATTTAAGAAATAAGACTCTGATTGGTAATAATAATACAGGCAAATTCTAAGTTTTTCATATCATCTATTGCTTTGCCACCTTAGAGTAACCACACATGTTGAACATATCGAGTACACTATGAGCCACTTTGTTCTGAGTTCTTGAAGTTTCCAAACTGAAGAAAAAAAATGTGACAGGAAAAGGGAAAGATTCAAAAAATATACACTTAATGTGCAACACAAAGAACTTCATTTTTAAAAATTTAAGATTTCATTTATCCAATGAAATAATTCTTACAGGGCAGAGACCTTCCATGTCTACCATTTACCTTCTGTGGGTGGCCACTTCCTATCCTTTTTTTTTAAAAATAATCTTTATTTACATTTGTCATTAAAAAAGAAGACAACACACCAGATAAATGACAAACAAAACAACAAAACAAATAACATACATGTCTATAAGTAGTACCTTAATAACTTAATATTCGGTACAATATATCTATGTTACATTCCGGGGGAGGCAAAACAACCTAATTTACATTTATAAATCAATTAGGTCTATCCGACCTCACTTTACTTGTATCATATAAATTCTTCAATAAATACGACTCCTAATCTAGTTTGGGATTATAGTTTCCTCTTTGATAGCCAAATATATAGTTTTTCCCAAGATAAACATGTTTGTGTTTGGTCTCTATCTTTCAGTTTTTTAGTCAATTTATCTGCTTCCGCACAATCCAAAACCTTCTTTATAATTGCTTCCTCTGATGGGGTATTTTTATCTTTCCAGAATTGAGCATATGTTAATCTCGCTGCTGTGATAATATGTAATGCAAGGTACCATGAATCTTTTTAAATATTTTCTGGTTTGCAGCCGAGCAAGCATGTCTCTGGTCGCCATTCAATCTCTTGGTTTAAGATCTCGTTAAGCCACTTTTTTATTTTTCCCCAAAATTTTACTGCTTCTGGGCACGTCCACCATTGGTGATAATAAGTGCCACGTTCAAACTTCCAGCATTCAGTGGACTGTCCAGTAAACATTTTGGCCAATCTATCGGGGGAGAGATGCCATCTATATAGCATCTTGTAAATATTCTCTTTATATGCCGTAGAAATTACTAGCTTCATATTCCCCCACCAAATCTCTTGCCATTTTTCCAGATGAATTGAGTAGCCAAAATTTTTCCCCCAGGCAATCATTGTACCCTTTATTATCTCGTCGCCAATCTCTAACCTCATCAACAGTTTATAGCTTTTAGAAATCATGCCTTTTTCCTGGCCCATCAAAATTTTGTCTAACTCCTGAAAGTCAACATTTATACCTTTCCTATCTCTGTCTTTTTAATATTTTGATTGAATCTGTAGATAGGTCCACTGGGAATTTAACTCCTGCTTTGGCTTTAGCTCTCCTCGTGCATTCAGCAAGTCTTTGTACATTAATTTTTTCACAGGGTTATATAATTTTGGATATATCAACGCTTCTAGAGGTGATATCCAGCACAGTGTTTTAATATAGTATATTATATTAAGGCACTTCCTATCCTTGATTCACTTTTCACATCTTTAAGGCAAAGGAACTCTTCTCCATCCTCATGCAGTTAATAATATGAACAGGGTTTAAGCTAGCTCCTTTCTCCAGCTACCCTGCAGAAAGTAAGCCATCGTGTAAAACTTGGTGGTCTTAAACAAGGGAAGAGACCCTTCTGGTGGCTAAGGACTACACATAACTTTTGAGGGAGTTGAGTGTGATCTTCTTATATATTTGTTACAGAATTGTGCTAACTCTATTTTGATTGGTGATTATATTGCAATTTTCATCTCTTCCCCAACTTAAAATACTTATAAAAACTTGAACAGTTTACAACTCCCATAGGTGGTATTTTGAGGGATGCAGAGGGAAGTATTTGAAATTTACAGGCAGAGCCAAGGTTGCCCCCACTATCTTAAAAAGGAAGTATGATATGAATGTAATGATGAAGGGGTGGGCTGATGGATGGATTTCATATGAGCATTTCTCCATTTACTCTTCTGCACCATGAGAGGCAAAAAGCTAGTTCTAATTGAATAACAGAGTTGGAGGTCTTCTAGATCAAACTCCCTGCTGAAGCAGGAAACCCTATAACAGGGGTCTGCAACCTTAAACACTCAAAGAGCCATTTGGACTCATTTTCCAACAGGAAAAAAAAAACACTGGGAGCAACAAAATCTGGGTGGCCAACTCCACGTCACTCACTCCCACCCAGTCACATGACCCCCCCTAGCCACTCCTACCCAGCCGGTCATTAGGGCAGAAAACCGGTTGTTAAAAAACACTGGGAACCACAAAACCCTTTTCTCTCTCTCTCTCTCTCACACACACACACTCTCCCCCCCTCTCTGTATCTATCTCTCCCCCTCTCTCTTCCTCTCTCTCTCTCTGTATCTATGTCTCTCTCTCACCCTCTCCCTCTCCCCCCCCTGTATCTCTTGGATTTCCAAGGCCAGGCAAGGAGTGACTGGGAGGGGAGGGTGAGGGGTGGGGCCAGCCAGTGATGGGACAGGGAGCTGCAGAAGAGGGCCCAAAGAGCCGCATGCAGCTCACGAGCCACAGGTTGCTGACACTCGCCCTATACTATTTCAAACAAATGGTTATCTAATCTCTTCTTAAAAATCTCCAGTGTTGGAGTGCCCACGACTTTTGGAGATAAGTCATTCCACCAACCAATGTTGGAGCCTCCTCAATTTCTGGAGGCAAGTCATTCCACTGATTAATTGTTCTGTCAGGTCTGTCCTAGGGTAATCTGATGAGTTCTTGTGCCAAGAAATATCCAGGGAAAGCACCTGTTAGGATGTCTCTACATTTCCAAAATGACCATTGATGGGAATAGCAAATGACAAAACAAGAGATATGATATAAACTCCAACTTGTTTTTTGTCAAATTATTCCGATGTTGCTTGCACATAGGCAACTGGAGGAGTGTACAATATATTGTTCTATTTAATCGTGCTGATAAAATTGTCTGCAGATACCCCAAGAAAGCAGACATTCTGTTTTCCCTACAAACATATTAGGAATAGCATGATGATTAAATGCACATTAAATTGTGTGCTACAGAAAAAACACCCATAATTTCAACAAACAATGCATGTTGGTGAGTGGAAATCAAATGGCACTCGCTGCAATTTGCCAGAATTCCTTATGTGTTTGTTTCCTGATTAGAGCTCTAGTGCCTGGAATGAAATCTAGTTACTTCCACCACACAGGTATTTTTCACAGTTGGTTGAAAAGGTCATTTTTTAATTAAGACCCTTTCCTCAAATGCAAAATTTTTCATTGCTCATTATCTTAGCCCACCATAATTGAAAATGAAGGCCTGAGGCTAGAAAGGATTATTTGGATCAGTTTTAATCTCTGAAATGGCACAAACAAACCAGCAAAGGATCAGCATAGGCCTTCCTCAAAAAAGCTCTCTCTCAAAATGGCTTTGGACAATAACAAAAGTTGGATAGTTAGAGAGGACCCTGGGTAGACCTCTGAGGAGAGATAATTCCTTGAGGCTATGACTCTGCCTCTCTAATCCTAGAGATTAAACACTGACGGAACAGGATGTGAAGGCATCTAGGTAGCTGGATTAATTATTTCTATACATCAGTAAATTCAAATTATTTTGTAACCCTACGCTTAATAACAAAGAAGCTACTTGTGAAAATAAGGTTGAAGTAAAAGTTGAGAATTCATGACTATAACTGGCCACTGATGACTATGATGGAGACAAGGTTCCTTAAAACAAAGGAAAATAGGAAAAACCGTGAGTCATATTTCACCAGCCTTAGCTCAGATTGAGAGTAAACTGAGCTATTTCCCCCATTTAAGAAATATCTAGATTTATTTCCATTGTAGCTCAGATTGAGAATAATCTGAGTATATTTCCCCTTTTAAGGAAGTAACTATTTTATTTCCATCCTAGTTGAGATTGAAAATAAATTGAATTATTGTCCCCATTTAGGAAGTAACTTGACTTATTTCCATCAGAGTTACATTCAGTTGTCCAACTCTCTTCAGCCTCCAACTGCCCGCTCTGACAATGTTCAAGCCCCCAGGCAAAACCTCTTTCCACTCCTTCCTTACTTTTCCAGCCTTCCACTCCCTTCTCTGTCAGTTCTCTTGACAACTTCTTCTCCAGAAGTCATAAGGATGAGTGGAAGAGTTCTCGCCAGGACTTCTGCTGTACTAGCATTCTCTAAACAAGAACAGTCCAAATTGTTGGGAATATATTACCATAGCGATTTGGAATTCTGAAAGTTGTGTTTGTTGCAGTGATGTGTTTCTGCCGGTTCGCCCCGGTTCGGGCGAACCGGTAGCAGTGGTGGCGGAAGGCTCCACCCACCCACCCAGACATCATCACGGACGGTCTGCACATGCGCAGAAGGTTCTGTGCATGCACAGAAGCACCCAGCGCGAGCAAAGCGAGCATGCACAGTTCCAAACTGGTAGCAAAGGTAAGTGAAACCCACTACTGGTTTGTTGGGTGAGGATGTTGGATTATTGATAGACAGGGGTTTGGATTTGGCTAAGTAAAGAAGAAAGGAAGAGAATTATTTCCCAATTCAGCCCAAACAATACAAGTAGTCCTCAATTTACAGCCACAATTAAGTCCAAAATTTCTTTTGCTAAATTAGACAGTTGTTAAGTGAATGTTGCCCCTTTACAACCTTTCTGACTACAGTTTTTAAGTGAATCACTGCAGTTGTTAAATTAGTACCACGGTTTTTAAGTGAAACTGGCTTCCCCGTTGACTTTGCTTGTCAGAAGGTTGCAAAAGGTGATCACATGATCCCCGGGATACTGCAATCATCATCAATACAAATCAGTTTCCAAGTGTCTGAATCAGTGGTGAAATGTAAAATTTGTTACTACCGGTTCTGTGGGCATGGCTTGGTGGGGGGGGGTAATGTGACTGAGTGGGCATGGCCAACTTTTTTTTTTTACTTTTAAAACCATTTTTTCTACAACCTCTTTGGCTTTTTTTTTATTTTAAAAGTCTCTGATGATCCCAGCTGAGTTGCCTGATCGTCAAAGGATTTTTTTTCTTTTGAAAACATTTTTTCTACAACCTCTTCAGCCGAAGAGATTGTAAAAAAAAAATGCTTTTAAAAGCCTCTGATGATCCCAGCTGAGCTGCGCGATCATCAGAGGCTTTTTTTTTTTAACTTTTAAAAGCATTTTTCGGCCGAAGAGGTTGTAGAAAAAATGCTTTTAAAAATTAAAGCTGGGCTCAGCTGGGCATGGGGGGTCTAGAGATTTTTGCTACTGGTTCTTCAAACCACCCGCCACCCTCGCTACCAGATCGGGCGATCCGTCCGAACCAGGAGCATTTCACCCCTGGTCTGAATTTTGATTACATGTCCTCAGGGCTGCTGAAATGATTGTGTGAAAAACAACCACATTTTTCAGTGCAGTTGTAACTTCAAACAGTCACCAAATGAACTGTTGTAAGTCAAAGATGAAAAGACATATTGATCGCAAGAAACAAAATTCAGAAATTGTATCTTTATCAGCCCAACTAAAAATTTCATGATTTCATGAAACAAGAGCTCTTCATTGTATAAGGTGGTGGGAAGTGAGGAAAAAAGTAGGTTGGAACAAGAACAAATGGAGCTAATGTCAATCAATCTTAGGTTGTTGGCCTGAACTGGTTTATATTCCTTACTCACATTTCTGCAGTTCTCAGCAACATTTCTATTTTGAAACTCTCTGTCAGTACAAGGATCAGAATAAATGTATCAATAAAGAGGAAGTCCTTGAAATGGAATCTTGAAAAGAAACATTCAGAAATGACACAGTTCCCAATGCAATAATGAAACAAGCTGCTTCTATCACATCTCTGACCTCACAACCAGTGGTGGGTTGCTCCCGGTTTGCACCGGTTCGCAAGAACTGGTAATAAAAATTTGTACTAGTTCGGAGAACCGGTAATAACATTGGCTGGCCACGCCCCCGATCCGGTCCCCAGCCCAGCCGCCGCTCACTTACCCCACCCACCTCCTCAGAGGCTTTTTTTTTTTTTTTACTTTTAAAAGCATTTTTTCTACAACCTCTTCTACAACTTCTTCGGCCGAAGAGGTTGTAAGAAAAAAAATGCCTTTAAAAGCCTCTGGCGATCCCAGATGAGTTGCCTGATCATCAGAAGCTCCTGAAAACATTTTTTTCTGTAACCTCTTTGACCGAAGAGGTTGTAGGAAAAAAAATGCTTTTAAAAGCCTCTGGAGATCCCAGCTGAGTTGCCTGATTGTCAGAGACTTTTAAAAGCATTTTTTTCTGCAACCTCTTAAGGTTGTAGAAAAAATGCTTTTAAAAGTAAAAAAAAAAAAGTTGGCCATGCCCACTCAGTCACATTACCCCCCACCAAGCCACGCCCACAAAATAAGCCATGCCCACAGAACCGGTAGTAAAAAATTTTAGAACCCACCCCTGCTCACAACCATCCTATGTTGTACCAACAAATAGATTCTTACAGTTTCATACACATCCTTCCCCCTTCTGTTTGATCTAGTTAATTAAAGCTTAATTCAGAAAAGGGAGACATCTGGATACTGGATTGGAAATATTTAAATATTTAAAAGCAAAACAGTTAATATGCAGACTGATTTGTACATTCCTAGAAGAACGTAGTTATAGGTATTAGAGAAAATAATGCATCTTTTTTATTTTTTTCCCCCAGAATCTTTGTGACCCCACATGTTCACTTATCCAGTCTGTTATATATTTTTAATTTAAGAACAGCAAAATGGTGTAGTTCAACTCTAATTAAACTTTACTTGTTTGCGAGTTCATGCGCATGCTATTGTGTGCAACAATAGAATTTGCAAGCATTTTCTATTCCGCTGATAATAATCCTTTACTTATTAAACATTCATGATCCTATTGAGCAAAATATCTGATTTAATAGGGCTCAGAATTCCAAACCAATTACCCTAAATTTAATTATTGGGAAAAAGGCTACTAACATAGATATGGGATATATATCCTCCTCCTTCAGAATAAAATATATTTGCTAGAAAACTAAACACTTTCAATCTTTGGGAAAAGGGAGTTAATTTGGGTTAAGTCATATAATAAAGTTTGTATTATACCTATTGTCCTTTCAAAATAACTACAATGAAGTCAGAATGTTAATTGACTGATGTAATAGGAGTGGCATGTGGCCTAGAGGTGAAGATGCTCAAATCCCACTTGAGAGGTTGAGAATTCAATCCTAAGAAGCAATAGTTGCTTCCTTATCAGGGCACAAAGAGAAAATATTTGTTGCGAACTCCATGTAGGTGTCAGGAAGGGCATCCAGTCAGTTGCCACTCTACCCAGATAAAAGGTATAACAGGTTCATAAAAAAAGGGGGGGCGGATGGCATCATATAATAGTCAGAGAGGTCCAATGACAATGTCCCAAGCATAACATGTTGGCTGTAACTTGTGAACTTAATGAGATACTTCGCATGTATTTATAGTTTTATTTCCCTTGCCACAATTTCTGCCTCAGGAACCACAAACCCATGACCACTCTTGGGAATTATGCACTTTGATTGTTGGAAGAGGGCTTCATTTGCCATTGTGTTTCAGGTAGAAAAGTGCCTTTGGTAGTCCTTTTTTTACGGAATTCCGCCATTCAGCAATTGTCTTCCTTGTTTTGGCGTGGCTGTTTGGGCTACATGTTGACTTCCAACACCATTTCAAATCCCTTTTTGTTACCTTGAAACCTCTGAACAATCAGAGTTACCCTGGAAATGAAGCAATATAGGGGCTGCCACACTTCCAGATGACCTGCAGGGAATGGAGAACACTATTTGTGAGGTCATTGAATGTGGCTCAGCATTTTCAATGACCTCACAAATAGTGTTCTCCATTCCCTGCAGGTCATCTGGAAGGGGAGCAGCTCCCATATTGCTTCCTTTCCTGTTCTGCCCCAGCTATGGACCCCAAAGAACGCAGCACACACAAACTCTAGACAAAGCTTATTTTACTCAAATAACTTAGTCTTTATCATTCAAAGGCTGTTAATGAACTATCTTAACAGCCTACCAGAATTCTAAGATATTCCCTCCACACACATTGGCCCTCTGGAAGGGCATTAAAACCTGGCTCTGCTGGTTGTCTCGGGGTCCTGATGGAAATGCTCTATGCTGGAGGTGACTGGCGGATTAATAGGGAAGATGCCACCACTGTACTATTTTTGCTCTTGGGTTTTCTAGTTTTCTACCTATTCTTGTTCATTTTAACATTTTAACATTTTTATATTTATGATTTTACTTAAGCTGTGCAGGGTCACTATAGATGGCGAGATGGATGACATATATGTTTAGTTAATAAATATATAAAGATAAAAAGTAGAGAATAGTTTAACAATATGTCTATGGAGATTCTCAGTCATCCAGGTCATGGTTGTCCCAAAGGTGCTTTTTTCAAGAGGCAACTGGACTTTGTTTTTCCCTTGAAGACGTTTCGCTTCTCATCCAAGAAGTTTCTTCAGCTCTTGACTGGATGGTGGGGAATGGAAGGATTTATACTCCTTGCAGACAGCTGGTCATTTGCATTCTTTTAGCAGGTCGTTGAGGCCATCTGGAAGTTTATCTGTGTCATCAGGGTCACCTGAGTGGTGCAAATTGGTGTGGAGCCTTCTTGGAACTGTTGAAAGGCCTGTGTTGTAGATTGTAGATAGATGATGTCGTAGCCCTCCCCATCTGTTGAGAGAGGGCTGTGCAGTTTTGACATAAATGGCCTCTTTAACCCTTCTTTCAAACCAGTGATCCTCTCTGTGCAAAATATAGACTGTGTTGTCTTCAAAAGAGTGGCCTGTGTCTTTTAAATGCAGATGGACTGCTTAATCTAGTCCTGATGTGTTTGTTATCCTGTGTTGTGCCATGCGCTTATGAAGTGGTTGTTTTGTTTCCCCAATGTATAGATCTGCATTGTCTCCACGTTGCTCAGTTTCTGTCTGGGTGTTTTATCCTTGGGGGGTGACAAGCTTCTGCCTTAGTGCATTCTTGGGTTTGAAATGTACACATATGTTTTGTTGGCTGAAGATCCTCCTGAACTTTTCCGATATGCCTGCAACGTACAGAGTTTAACAGTAGTGCCTCCTTAATGCAAAAGCCATCCCCGAGAA